AATAATAAAAATAATAAATATTATATATAAAAAATAAATTTGATACGAAGCGCGCGGTGAAAATTGAGCTTTTGATCTGAATTGGGTCAAATTTTGTGGTTAATAATGCTTTTCGCGCCTTTTCTCTCTCGCGCACTCTCTTCGATTATGTACACTGATAAGCGATCTCTCGCTTCTGGGAGTAGATAGCGTTATGTTGGAGAGAGGGTAGACAGCGAAAGGTCAAGGCGGAAGACAGAGAGAGAGGCTCAGTTGACTGTCAATTAAATCTGACAGTCAGTGTTGGTTGTTGTGGTGCCACGGGCTGGTTGGTTGAGTGGGTTGGGTTGTGGTTGCGTTTGGGTTTTTGTTATTTATTGTTGTGGTAGTTGTCTACGTTATTATTATATATATTATTGTACATCTACATTATTATTATATATATTATTATTATACATATACATTATTGTTATATATTATTACATATAATGTGTAGTAATATATAATAATAAATAATAATTATAATAAATAATAATAAATATAACAGTACGATTACCTTGCAGGTATTGTATTATTCACAGTTTTCGTTTAATGCAGCCTTTCTGGCGCTGTTCATCTACGACCGTAGCACGTCGTGTCCGCACGCACACGCGTACGCCAGCGCACACACGCACGCAGCTCAGGCCATCTCAAGCCATCCCGCGACGAGGTCGCAGAGTGGCGACTGCGGCACTCATTTGAGCGCTTTGCATCATGCATCAACCCGATCCTTGAATCGAATCGACTCGCCCGGAGCTGCGAATGGGCCTGGAGTCCGCTGCTCCGAAGCTCGACTCGGAGTCGGTCTCCGGAGCGGAGTCGGAGAAAGTCGGCAATCGCCCGATTGCCGGGCTGATTCGGCGAGTCTAGCGCCGGAAATGTTGCCGGATGGCCCGTCGTCATTGTCATTGTGAGTTGGGCAGTAGGAGGAGAGGCGTGAAATGGTTCCCGGGGACAATTTTTCCATGTTTTAAGGGGTACTAACGGGGTTTGGGACATTTTACCCATATTCTTGGGGATGCTGACTGGGCTGGGGGCAATTTAGCAGGGTTCAGCGCAAAGGGAATATCCTAGTTATTGAGTCAACAGCGCATAATCCCGATATATTTTATAACCTCTGGAATATACCCGGCGGGGAATGTGCATAGTAAAGGCCAGTTAAAATGATGACGGGTAAGAAAAAGTTCCCGACTCCCCGGGGAATAAATTGAGGGGATATCATGTTCGGGGTTAAACGGTGCGTGTAGCGTAAATAATTTTCCATATAACGATGAGAGCGGTTTCATATTGTTGTATATACGTAATATGATGCTTAATTTGTGTATTTATTGATGTGTTAATTATAAATTGTAAATTTATTGATGTTTTCATTGTAAATTTTATCGATTTGACGTAAAAATAAATTATTTTCGGTTATTTTATCGGCGTTTTTAGTTTGCGATGTAACGTGAGCTGCAGTAATGAAGCTGCAATATTTGTATTGTGAAATTTTAAATTTAAAAGTTGGTCCCGACACGAAAAATTATCATAGTGAATTTTGTAAATTTTGAACTGAGAACGAACTTTTCGGCGTTGCGTCGCGCTAACGTTTTCATTCATTTGTTTTTTTTGGCTGTTCTTTCTTGTAAATTATTCGGAAGGGACGGGGTTTTGCGCGATTTCAGGTCATTTTTTAGCGCGACTTTGCTATTTCAGGTCACTTTTAGGAGAGGGGGGGGGGAGTGAATTTGTTGGTATGTTTAAATTAGTGGTAGGGGAGGGTGAGTGTAATTGTGAGATATTTTCGAAATTTTGAGTGTAGAGTTTGCGTATAGTAGAGAATGAGTGAAATTGCTTTATTAGTTACTTTACTACTTTACTTACTACTTGCTAATTACTTTAGTGAAATTACTTTATTACTTACTACTTACT